GGTTGATGAAACCTCTGTGAGTGTATTGTTTAGAACCATACACTCGCCCTTTCTATTTGCATTTGAATTTCTGGATTTGCTTGAGACGGATTTATTTTTTTAGTTATAATCTGCCTTTTAAAGAAAAAAATAAAGTAAATTTACTGGTGAACTGCACTTGCAACTATGTTACATCGATGTGAGCTCGGGTATTGGGTTTACCAAAGATAAGAGAATGGTTAAATGCACCCATACCGGAGCAATATAAACTTGCAATGGTTGTATTTGCATCATTACTTTGAGAAAATCTGTGAGGCTTTATATTATCATATAAAAAGTAAATTCCTCGTGCTGCTTTATTTTTCTTTTCCTGGTAGGGTAAGTCGGTTCCTTTGAAGCAATTCAACTTTATAATGTATGATTTGATTAAAACTTATTCTAATTCCAAGCTGATGGATAGTTGTTAATTACCACAAAATTTGGATGTGTGATGTCTGATTTCAGGTTCAGAAAATACAGTGTATGACACCAAAAATTGGAGTTGTTTACAGGTTTTCTTTTCATTTCTTAAACTATCTAGAAAGCTCAGTTATTTAGTTATTTTAGTGGGAACATATTGAATCTGATTAGCATGTAGTCGTATATTACATTAAATTGCTTCAAAATACACCAACAGCTTACATCTGTAATTATCTGTGTTTTGCCAATGACTTGAGCAAGTAACAGTTCACGCGCATCTATGATATTATTGCTATTAAACAAGAGGGTGCACAAGGTGCACCCTAAAATACTATACATTTCATGAGGCAGTCTATTGTAGAATACTCTTTTTGTTCTTGAATATCCAGTACATGGCCATCCTTTTGTTTTAAAGTTATTCTTTTATAAAAAGTTTCACTTCCTTGTTCTGTGCTTTGATTGATATATAAAGAATAGGGTTACTCATATCCGGTTTATTAATGATTTTTTTATTTATGATCTCGCCATCTTGTTATGTTCTGTAAGAAAGCTCTGTAAACCGTTAGCCATGTAGTGTAGGCTTTTTTTTATGATTTATTATTCTGTGTTACATGTTGCCATCTCCAGCAAAAGAAAGGAGCTTGTTTTTTTTTTTGGAAAGATGGTTAGGTATGTGGAAAGCTAACATGCATTTCTTTCAAAATAAGGATGATAAATTAATAGGCTTCTAAGTAAAATAACGTTACCATTTATGTGTTTTAATCCTGTTTTTGCTGCTAATATAACTGACCTATTTCTTGATATGTATATATATTCACACAAATCTTCATACTGTTCTGCAGTGGTATGGGCCCTGATTTTCGAGTTTTGGTTCGGAAAAGTAGGAAGCAGGCAGAACAGTATCATAGGCTGTATAAGGTATTATGGCTCTTAATGATATTTAGTTTACTTAATTTTTCACCTATGTGCCTCTTAGAAAATGTTATGGCAGTTCAAATCATTGTATTAAAGCCTTGGTCCGTTCTATAGATCAAAACTAATCCTATCCGTATGGTTACCTTTGCACATTTGTCCCAATAACATAAGTTCAAACTGAAAGGCTATATGGCAATATTGAATTGGTTTCTAACACGTGCAAGGCTTTTTGTTTGCAGGAACCAATTCCAGTGACACAACTTGTAAGGGAAACTGCTGCTGTTATGCAGGAATTCACTCAGTCTGGGTAAGAATTATGTCTTTGTCTATAAAACCCATTATTCTTCTCCCTTCTATTTTCTCACAATTTTGACAAAGATTTTGAGGAGTCCAAATGTTTGAGGACTTTGATAGTTGTCCCGTTTTTCAAAAGTAGGTTATGCTTTACTTCATTTGAATTATTGGTTTGTAAAATAGCATTGTTTATTTGGCCAAAGTGGAAATAGCATGATTGTAATACAGAGTTTTTCTTAAAAATTTTGTATAATACTATGTTTCTTTGAGAATACTTTTTCTTTGAACATTTTGTATATTACTAAGTTTTTTCTAGTGTTGTTCTGGCCTTTTTACATGATGTCAGGGCTGATAGGGAAACCTGAGAATGGAATTTTTGAGAAAAATGGAAATGTTATAGATTCCTATTTTTTCCAAATGTCTTTTAAGGCATTGCTGCTATGTTTTGGGTCAACCTGAATTGGATCAAAAGTGGTAATGCTAAATTGTGCAATCCTCTGGCTTTTATAGTAAGTTTTATGCATCTTTCTCTTTCTTTGTAGTGGTGTTAGACCTTTTGGTGTATCTCTACTGGTTGCTGGATATGATGACAATGGTCCACAACTGTATCAGGTATTCGTTGTAGGCAATAGTTTATTGCATGACCAGGTAGAGATTGCATACAATGGTTTATATGCTTTTCAACTTTATGATTTTGCTCCTTGTCGCTAGGTGGATCCATCTGGTTCCTATTTCTCATGGAAAGCCTCAGCAATGGGGAAAAATGTCTCAAATGCAAAAACATTTCTTGAGAAGAGGTATTTTCCTAGCATCTGGTTCTTATAGAATTCAACACTAGTTCAATTAAAAATTTGGTATGATACGTTACACTGATTATGTTAGGATGTCAATTTTTTAGCATGTGATCATATAAAATAAATTTGTATTTTTTCCAGAACTGAGTTGGACATCCTCTTACTTTCCGGTTCTTGTTGTGTAGAGACTGAAATTTTGGTTGATTTTGTTCCTTCCTTGTAGATACACTGATGATATGGAGCTTGATGATGCTGTGCATACTGCTATTTTGACTCTCAAGGAGGGGTAATGTCAATGCTAAAATTTCCTCCACCTAAATGTTGCCGTTGAGGAAGATTGATCTTCTATATGTATCAAAAAGAACCTCAGGAGAAAAATGTTGATCTTGGGTTGCCTTTATAATTGTCTTTTGTAATCTTACAACCAGTTATTCTCAATTTGCAGATTTGAAGGACAAATCTCAGGGAAAAACATTGAAATTGGGATCATTGGAACTGACAAAAAATTCAGGCAAGCACTGCTTTATTTCAGAATGGTTGTTTCTGCCAACGTGCATTATTTATCTTATGATGGTTTATGCTTTTTGTTCTGTTTGCTACGTTGCAGGGTACTTACCCCAGCTGAAATTGATGATTATTTGGCCGAAGTGGAATAGCTTATCTTCTTACTGGAGGCTATTTAGAAGTGTCTTTTATGTAACATTTGTTTTTGAGACGTTCATTGCAGTCAAAAATGCTTTTATTTTTCTGGTATAACTATGGTTTCTTTAAGCTCTTACCGTTCTCGGTTACATTCTCAACACAAGCTGAAATCCTAATGAATTGAATCTCAGGCACTGGAGGGACTAAATCATGCTTTGATTACCAACTTTCAGTTAGAAGTATATGAATATTACGAGAACATAGTACTAAATTGCGGTTGTGGATGTTACAACGTGATTTATTTGTTAAAAATAACTATGATTTTATGTTGCGGTTTGTGGTGTCGTGGTGACCTTGAAAATGTTAGAGTACAATCGTAATTTAATACGAGTATGAAACTATCAAGTTCAAACGATAAATGTAAGAAGTAACCGAGAATGGGCAGTGTTATATTGTAAGTTGAGTTTCACAATAAAAAGGATGGTTGAGATTTTGAATCTATTCGGCAGTCCAATTGAAGATAATGACAGGAAAACTGAGACATCCTATCAGCTGCTGAAGTGGTTTCGGAGTATATGATAATATGGTCTATGGAATGTTAAAAAAAAATTCAATAAACGCAAATGGTTGGAAGGCATGCATGATAATATAATACAACACTAGTTTCTAAATCATCAATTTCCCACGGTCCCAGGCCAGTTGTCCTATAGGAAAAGCCCAAACCGAAGACAAATCACTCAAGTCTTTTCCATTTTCTGTTTGGTCCTCTAACATTAAATACTCTTTCAATCAAGCCATATATAAATAATCCAATTAAACTTATCTAAAGTCAATTGCAAAATAGTATTAAAAGGAATTCTAACCGCTATATGAAGTTGGTCAGTTTGGTTCAAAAAAGAAAGAAGTTGGTCAGTTGAGACTGCTTAAAAAGAGGTCAGGTCCCCCGAGAACTCATATTCGGGATTCATGAATATGGCCAATTACAAAGGGAAGCCACACACGTTTTTTAAGCATGGAATTAAGATTGACCCAGGCAACCCACAATGAAAGACAATTTGGTAAATGAGGTTAGCTAAGCTGCCATTGCCCCCACATACTGACCTTACCCAACTATTTTATACTGCGTTAATCTTATTCACTTGTTCTTATCCTTCGAGTGTTAGCAAACATAGCTATGTGGTTAACCCTTAACCATAAATAAATATAAAAACTCATAAATATGATACAGACGTGGAATGTTTATTACATATAAGTAAATATGATGTAATTTATATAAACTTTTTAAAAAATTAATTTGACAACAACATTCTTTTTCATAATATTTTAATAAATATAAAATTACACTTTAACTACAAGTGTTAGCAATCATAGCTCTGAGGTTAACCCTTAATCATAAATATGACACAGACGTGTAATGTTTATTACAATAAATAAGTATGATTGTATGCTGTAACTTATATATAATGTAAAGAAATTAAATTACACTTTTACTGTAAGTTAAAGTGTTTACTTCATTAAATAATTCAGTCTCCAATCGACTTGTGAGGAACAAACCAAAACATAATTCTGATTATTGACCATCCAGATGCCGATGGCTGATGGCAACTTAGACTTTAGAAGATTCCTAGAAACCGAAAGCGTTGCTGTTTATTCCTACCATGTACTTGGAAAAACCTTGCTTCTCTGATTAACATTCCATATATATATATATATATATATATATATATATATATATATATATATATATATATATATATATACCCTTCCACTTCCATGTCATCTCCAATTACATCTATAATACATTTTCTCTGTATTCATTCTTATCCACTTTTCTTCTTCTCCTTCTTCTTCTGTTCTTGCCTTTTGCTCTCCGCTGCCCCCGAGCAATACATTGTGTTCATTTGTTTGTAAAGTTTTCTTTTCGGATTGTCTACACGAATATTGCCCCTTCCATGGAGAAAATGCAATTGTCACCGATGAGGAATGTCAAGAGGCAGAAAACAGAAAAGCCAATGACCAAAAGGGTATGGAGATTGAAGCTTAATGTAACTTGGCAACGGATAAAGAAGGCCTTGAAATCCACTCTGAGGCATCGCCTTCATCTTCATCTTGCATCCAACCTCAACAAGCTCTCTACTCTGAAACTCAATCATCATGATATGGCTATCATTAGGCCTATTCGGCATGTAATGAAAAAGAAAAAGACCTTTCATCCCACCATGCCATTAGCGAAACTCATTCAATTGCCGCGCACGGAAGCTGACTTCATAGACCACGGTGATGCAATGACTCCATCCAAGTCCCCAATCGAGAATATATCCACACAATGGCGTGAGCTTCATGGTTTGCACAATTGGGATGGCCTTTTTGAGCCTCTCCATCCTTGGCTTAGGCGAGAGATTGTCAAGTACGGAGAGTTTGTCGAAGCAACTTATGATGCTTTCGACTTTGATCCTTTATCTGAGTTTTGTGGAAGCTGTAGGTATAATCGGCACAAACTGTTTGAAGAACTAGGCCTTACCAAACATGGTTACAAGGTTACCAAGTACATTTATGCCATGTCCCACGTCGATGTTCCCGAATGGTTAGAGAGGACTTGCTGCTCTTGGAGCAAGAATTCCAACTGGATGGGATACGTTGCTGTCAGCGGTGATGCTGAAACTGCAAGAATTGGGAGGAGAGATATCCTCGTGGCATGGCGGGGCACAGTGGCTCCGACCGAGTGGTACAGTGACCTCAGAACAAGTCTCCAGCCACTTGGGAAAACCAATATCAAGGTCCAACGTGGGTTCCTCAGCATCTATAGTTCCAAGGGCGAGTTCACAAGGTACAACAAGTTGAGTGCATCGGAACAAGTCATGGAAGAAATCCGGAAGCTTGTTTACTTTTTCAGAGACAGGGGTGAGGAAGTTAGCTTAACAGTCTGCGGCCATAGCCTGGGGGGTGCCTTGGCACTCCTAAATGCCTACGATGCCGGAACGTACTTCCCCGATCTCTTCATCAGTGTCATCTCTTTTGGTGCACCAAGAGTTGGGAACATACATTTCAAGGAGAAGCTTAGAGAAGTTGGAGTCAAGACACTAAGGGTTATTGTCAAGCAAGATATAGTCCCAAAGTTGCCAGGGTTCATTCTCAACACCATTCTCAACAAGTTTACAGCGGTGACTGGGAGATTGAAATGGATTTACCGGCACGTCGGAACGCAACTGAAGCTTGATGTACTCATGTCGCCGTATTTAACACGTGATCCAGATTACACGGGGAGTCATAATTTGGAGACGTACCTCCATCTGTTGGATGGATACATTAACAAGACATCGAAGTTCCGTTGGAATGCAAGAAGAGATGTTGCCTTGGTTAACAAGACAACAAATATGTTAATAAAGGAGTTAAAGATCCCGGAGTTTTGGTACCAAAAGCCATTCAAGGGACTTGTGTTAAACCAATATGGCCGATGGGTTAAACCAGGGAGACAACCTGAGCACATTCCTTCTCCACTTAGCATTAGATCCAATCACGACCTATCACTTTAAGATTAAATGTTGGTTCTTTGAGAAAGATGTCCACTAAAAAAATGAATCCCGAGTCCAATTTTGAGTCTTGCTCTCCCCCCCCCCCCGCCCCCAATTTTTCTGTTTATATGAGATTCATTTATTTGTTGAACATTGATCTGCAAAAGAGTTTTTTATTGAATTTGATTGCCATTATTTGTATAGAGAAGCATACTCGAGCAAGATTATTTGCAACATTCTTTACAAAGTGACGAATCCACAAGTTTTTCATTAAACACTGAACAAGAACTAATCGAAGAAGTTCAAGCTGAAGACCCAAAGCAAAGTGATTATGTTTACAAACAAACGATCAGACAGCAAGGTTCCCTAAAACCATATTATCAACAAACAAATATTAGTTCAGGGACTTCTGATTCAATACATGAAAGACACAAGCACAAAAACAATGTACATCAAACAAATGATTCTGATCTTGAAACTTGAGATAAAGCATCTTCGAATTGCTCGTCTTCTAGTTTCACAGAGATCAAGCTCGGAGGGATAAAGGATTTGAATATCTGTTCCATGTGAGGGGCTTCTTTCAATTCTTGGTTAGCGACCTCGAGAGCTGTGTGACAAAAAGCCCCATAGAATTTCTTCCTACAGATGAAGAAGAAGACAAGAGACAATATCGGTAGTGGAATCAGAATGGGGGTATATAAGAATTTCGACACCCCAAAGTAACCCAACATGGTAGCTTGGTATAACAACAAGGCGCCGAGAATTCGGGTATGCATGTGAGGCCACATTCTTCCATAGCTCTCATATGCTGGGACATAAACTTTGAGTGCCTGTTAAAAGAACAGCATAAAACAGATAGGTAAAATGAAACTAAATTTGAACTGTGAGAATGATATTTCTTAGCAGAAATGGAAAGGAAATCTAGGAAAATGAGAGTACTTGATTCCGGAGAACAAGCCAACCCAAGGCAAAGTAAAGCACTCCAAAGGGGATGATCACAGGAGCTATAACCGAGTAGCAGAGAACAATGGTTACAATAAGCATGTCAGTAGGAACTCTAGTGGCATAGCTAATATCTCCGGGGAACCAAGCTTCTTTTAACTCGGCTTCGGTCTTGCAAAGATATTTCCTCTTCACATGATATATGATAAGCGGCACTATTCGAGAAAGCTCAAGCCCATAACCAACAAAGAACCTGCCAATTACCAGTAGCCAAATGAAACAAAAAAAACACACATTTAAAGTAATTGAAATTGCAATGAGAAAAGGTTGAAGGCTTACTTCAGAGCCACAAATGTAATGAAGAAAGTTGCATTCCCAGGGAGGCTTTTTGCCAGTATCTCGAAAATGGAGTTGGGATTCTTTTCAATGGTCTTAAGTTCACTGAACAAAGTTCCACCAATGGTAACACCGATGAAAACATTAAACACGATGAAATAAAAGTATTTCCCCGATGCAGCCCTTATGACATGGCTCCCTGAAGGGATTCCTTCGGTCTTAGAGAGGAACAATAAAAGCTTCGGTAATAATGCCAAAAATATGATGAGCGCAAGCTGGGGAAGATATGCCTCCAATACCGTCTTAAGTGCATCCACATCAACAACAGGCTTCAAGAATGGCAGAAGTTTTCTCAGATTCTCAAGGGTTGTGAATGCGGAAATGAACGTAATGGGAATCATATAAAATATTATAGTCAGAAACACGATAAAATAAACAGCATATTGTCGTATTATCCTCTCATAAAACTTGATGGTCAGATTGCTCCATATAAGTTGACGAGGTTCGGGTGCTTCCGTTACAGTCCAATTGTCAACCATTTGAGCATGTAGGCTTTGAGAAGCCGAGGCTGCAGTCACCCTGCTGGTAAAGAAAACCAAAGCAGATCCTTGCTGCTTTTCTCTGAGGGTCAACTTTTGTTCCGCTTCAAATTTTTGCGTCAGTTCCTTAATCTTTTCATTGTAGTACTCTATGCTGTCTACTTTTTCGCCACAGAGACCAAGGAAGCCGGCTTTGTGGGTCGGTTTCATGCCTTGACCTTTTCTCTCGGACTCTTCATATATTGCTTCTGCCCGCAGAAGCTTCTTCTTGAACCCTTCTAACTCACCCCAGATTTTGTCAACCTACATTTCAACGAGATGTTTGCTTATAATCCAACAGGTTAGACTCAACGGAGATGCAAATTATCATAATGTTACCTCTTTGTTGTTCGTGACCACCATTGATCTGTAGAATGTCTGGGGATATATAGATTTGAAATACGTATCAACCTGCTGCTTTCGAGTTGACCTGTAGTGACATCCGGTAAATCTCTAACGAGAACCGCGAATTGCTCCGGTTTCACTTCATCTGACTTTAGAGCAGTAGCTCTTAGAGCAGAAACATGTTTGTAAGCCTTCCATGAAAGGAAATAGGTGACAACAGAGACCCAATAGGTGGCTACCAGGAATGCCCACAACCTTGGACTCTTTTCCTGTATAGACAACAATAAACAGACCTTTGTATATCAAAACACATTCATGACACTGTAATCGTACTTGGTCGGAGAAAACAATAAAGATGTCCTTTGCAACAATTAGAGAAACTCAGAAATACAAAAACAATAATTTATTTCCAGTTGACGAGAATGTTATATATGGCTTAGTCTTACTTGAATATTTGCCATTGACAACTTGTCTAGGTCACTGAAAGTCCCATTGCTTGTAGTACTATGTGCGCTCTTCCTTACACCATCATCAGTAGCAGCAACGGGTAAAAGAACTGGAAGCAGTACAACGCCAGACAAAACCAATATTCCCAATACTGTAACGTTTATCAAGAGAAGGAAAATTCAGAATTAGTCTTTCACAAAATTTTCTTCATTACTAAAGCAATTTCAGACAAAAAAAAAATCTGCTGTTTTCCGGAGTCAACCTCGTATACGGTCTACCTATATGTATCAGTTGGAACAACAACGATCCTAGACTGGAAATCAAGGTAATCCCCAGTATCCCATCATCAAAGTTCAGGTAAGATTCAAAAGCATCGGAATGTCATGTGAATAAATTAAAACACAACTACATAGTGGACGCTCTTTATTTTGCTTAAAACGGTCGCATCTGACGTATATTAGGATGTGGGTATGGTTATTTATAATTCTTATATTAAAAAAAACTCAGAAAAAATTTGTTATATCGATTTGAAGGTATACCATATAGCTATCCCTTACTAAGTCCAACTAACATCGACCAAACTAACAAATTCTGGTATTTCACACTGATAACAGATGGAACAAATAAGAAACCCGTTAAAGTAGAGAGCAAAACTTTCCATAATTATTTAGGAACAGATGAGTCAATATGAAATTCACTTCAGAATAATTACAAATTAAAAGATCCAGCTTTATAAGCAACTCAAACAACCGTATGAACCCCCCCACCCACCACAACCAACATAAAACTAAACAACACTTACATAAGCCGATGTCAAACTCAAAATGGTAAAAAAAAGGACAGAAAATCAAGTGCACTAACTGAACAAAAAAAACATTTGTACACAAAATTCAGACGTGCAAAATACTAAAAAGGAGACAAAAGGATAAGGACAAAAACCAGTGCTAAGGAAGACGAAGTAGACGGCAGTGTCGATCCCAGACATGTGGATGACATCTTGTTCAGTAGAAGACAACGCTTCGCTTATCCAAGCAAAAGGGTTTCGTGTCTTTGAACCGCCTTCCCACGGTTCCAAACCTTTGACGATCCGGTTCGGATAATACACCACCGCGTTCCCCTCTCTCGTCGAAAGCCAGGCAAAGAGCAGCATCAAAACAATGAATATTACAAAAGACGTCCCTAAGGACGTCAAAAATGAACTGATATCCATCTGGGTTCACTCTCCCTTAAAAAGAAACTCTGTTTCCTCTGTTTTTTTCTCTCCAAATCTTGTATATGTGAAGAAAGAAAAAGGGCAAGAAGTGGCAGTCGTTAAAAGCCGTGACGAAGTAACTGTGAAGAAGAAAGAAAGAAAACCGATATAACCAAAAAAAAAAAGTAGGAAAAACGAAACAGGAAAGGATTTATGATTTTTTTTTGTTGTTGAAGAAATTAATTCGACATTGATTGATTAGGTGGGTGGTTACCAATTAACGATAACATAAAGTTTTCATTGTAAAATATCTGCCCAAAAACCGGGTGTTTTGATTAGCTGTTTTTTGTGGGGCATGCATTTGATTTCGTTCATACTTTTTCTCTCTCTTTTTCATTTGAATGCAGGGATTTGCTGCATAAGATAACTGAGCTTTAAAGCGGATTTCATGGAAGATGGAGAGTTGGCCTGCGGTCAAGTAAAAGCCAGGGCAGGACAAAAATTTATGTACAGTTAGTTACGGTCGAGTAAAACTGAGAACGATTGGATTTTCCATTTTATGTTGCTTACATGTGGGCAAATCTATCGGCTAAGACACCAAAATAGAGAGGAAAAAATAGATCCTTTGTTTTTTTCTTGAGGAGATTTAACTACGTAAGAATTTGTTTGAAATTTAAAACTTGCAAATTATTTGGTTTTACAGTTTAAACAAATTCATGTTGATGAGCATAGATATTGTTTTCATAAATACATAAAATTGTGCCGGACAATAAGCTAACATGAAAACCGTGACCATCTTTAAATTACGGGTAAATAATAAAAATAGTCTCCGATTATAAGATATTACTTTATTGAATTCATCAATTATTAAAAGTTATAAAGCGATCATTCAACTATTAGATGTTGTTTTGTTGAGTTATCGACTATTAAAAGTTATAAAATAGTCACCCGACTTTTCATATGTTCAAAATTCGTTATTTTTCATTAAAAAATCAGTTTGAGTTTGACGTTAACATGCTCACTAAAATATGATAAAAATTAGATTTCAAAATTGATTGAGTTGTATTTTTTTGATCAAGTCTATGTTTACATTATGTTATGAAGTCAATTTTTGAAACATTATATCGTCGAGCTAGTACTTGAAAACAACGGTTGTGCCAATAGAAATCATTAAAATATGATTTTATTATATTTCAATTAGTAAGTTAACGTCCATATCAAACGGTTGTCAATTTTTTTAAAGAAAATAATGAGTTTTGAATATATATATATATATAGTCAATGATCGTTTTGTAACTTCTAATGGTTTGGAGACTTAACAAAATAATATCT